TCTCCAATACACACAATGCAGTGTCGTTAATTCTAACACCGCATCACATTGATACTAAGGAGTCAGAATCTCCAACACTATGCCTTAATAGGCATTAAGGAGATATAATTCTCCAAGACCATACCCCGTCAGGTACTAAGGAGAATAATGCCATATGGTCTTTCTCTACTTCTCCTTACAAGTGAACTCTCCCCCCTATAATAATGCTTATGTATAAATCACCTCTTCATATATATATATATATATATAATCATGAATATATAATCACAAAACATGCAATTCCATAAGCTCAATTCTTTTGATATCATTTTCATGCATTAAACATTCATCATAATTCTTCACTTTTTGATAGAACACATTTATTACTTACTTTTATTCATCAATTAGGACTTTTTATTAATGTTTTATAACCTCAAAGTGCACTTATTGCATTAAATTTAAAAATTACCTATATTTTGGTCCAAAAAATGAATTTTTGAAAAAATATACAAGAAAAATTGAAAAAGTGAATTTTATGTCCAGTTACTGAGTGGTGAAATTAAAATTTTAAAATTTATTTTAGTTTGGAAGTAATTAAATAAAAAGTCAACACTTTTTCAAGTTCTTTAGTTTGGCTTAGTTTTCGGGTTGACTTTGTGTGAAAATTTTTATATAATTTTGTGTAGCCTAGAACTTGGTCAATTTAATAAATTCTCCCATCTAATTATGAATTTAATCTTGGACATTAATTATATTTTACTATATCACATGCTATTTAATTGAATTATGTGATTTGTGTGACATAAGTGACATGTGACTTGTGCATCAATTGAGCAATTGAAGTCAATACTCCTTGAAGTCAAAACTGATGGTTTGCATGTGAATTAGGATTTATTTAGGGATTAAATTATATTGAAAATGTGGAAGACACATGAAAAATTATACACACATTGGAATCATCTATCGACTAATAGAAGGTTGCCATCTTGTGAGTGTAACAAGGCTCCATTTTCATTTTAATTTCTTTTCCTATCTTTTAATTAAGTTTTAGCTGATACCAAAACAAAATTGAGCATGCCATTTACTCCCAAAAATCAGATCAATTTTCATCTCATTCATCTTCTATACTTTCTCTTCTTATTTATCTTGTTCTTCATTTTTCTCTTCCTTCTCTCTACACTAGATTTTCATACAGCCACAATTCTCCTTCTTTTCACCATCAAATCCACTCAATTCTTCCACCATTCTTATCCTCTCTTAAGGTTGAACCAACCCCAAACAACTAGAAGGAGATTTGAAGCTCAATCCATTAAGAAGCATGGAGCATGTGCCACGACTTAGTTGTGTTCATGGAGGAAGCAAGGTGCTCCTAATATTTTCTAGCCAGAGTCTCCATAAAATTCTAGGAGAGAGTTGATGAAATAGGAGTTTTGAAGTCCTCACTTGGCTAAGCTCAATTATTTTTTCATCTTGTTTCAATTCCATTAGAATATTGTGACTATTGTTGATTGTGGTCTAATTTGACTTTAGTTACATGATTGTTTCTAATTTATAATGTTAAAACAAGATTGTTGAGTTGTCATGACCTATGTGCTGTTAGAATTTTGTCCACTTTATGAATTTGCAAGGTAATATGTGATTTTCATGGGTCAATGTCATGTATTAGCCTAACATGTAATTGTATGGTGAACACTTGATGAGTTGCTTGAGTTTTCATAGTTTTGAACTTAGGTACAGCTTTGAAAAGTAGCATTTGGGAATGAATTTTAGCTAAATACTTAGTTAATTTTAGAGCTAAGCTAGTGAGGTTACCTAAAGAGCTTGTAATAGTACTTAAGGAATTGAATTAGTGAAGCTATGATACTTGAAATAGTTGTCTTAAGTAAATGCATTTTTCAGCCAAGGAAGAGGAGTTAAGTGAGTTGCCATGTTTGATTAGAAATTAAGATTCTTCCATTACCAACACCTTAGGGTTCCTACTTAAATTGGGAAGCCACTTCATTCATAATTAGATTTAGTTTGCTAGTTTAACTTACTAGATAATTAGGTTAGCAATTAGTTAATCAACTTCAAACTTTGCGTGATTTATTTCTCTAGATAACTTTAAATTAGACTTAAAATCATTCATTGGGAGATGAGCTAGGGTTGGCCCTATATTGTATTAGGGTTGGCTTTAGTTTAATTTTGAAGGCTAGCAATAAATCCTATAACTTTTCTAACATATAGCATGATCACTACCAAACAAACCTTAAAATCACCCCGACTTAAAATCATAAGCTCACCTTAGACTAATATATACTCACGTTGGCCTTGAGCTTACTTTCAATGGTAGAATCACCCAACCAAATGTGTTCTATCTCACCTCCAAACTATGGTCTCTCCATAATGGGGTGTCATTAATTCTAATACCGCATCACATCGATACTAAGGAGTTTGAATCTCAAATACTGCACCTCAATAGGCACTAAGAAGATACAATTCTCCAACACTGCACCCCGTCAAGTACTAAGGAGAATAATGCCATATGATCTTTCTCTACTTCTCCTTATGAGTGAACTACCACCCCTATAATCATGCTCTTGTATAAATTACCTCTTCACACACACACACACATATATATACCCTGTATATATAATAATAAAACATGCAATTTCATAAGCTCAATTCTTTAAATATCATTTTCATGCATTAAACATTCACTTAAAAAACATGTTCATTCTAAAACATTTTCATGTAATAATATTTATACTTTCAAACAGTTACAATAGATAATCAAATAAAAAAAGTTATTTGGTTATCTCAACACTTCTGTCACAAGAAAGGTTACCAGTGAAATTTCAATAACCACTAAAGCTCTCCATAAATCTTCTCTCTCAGTTTACACGTGGAATCTACACACAATTGACCCAATTCGTCAATTGATCCAATTGATTAAAAATACTTAATTATAGCCATCCATTTCTTTTCATCTATTCATTTTAAGTTTATTATCCCTTGATCACCACTTTCTACCACTTTGAATAATTCCATTTTACTTATACTCCATTTTCACTTCATTTTTCCCTTTAATTTAAGGCCAAGTAGAGCCTATAGCTTCAAAGCTTTATTGTTCAACTCCAAACCAGTCACAAAGCTTTAATTTAACTTCCAAGGCCTTTTTTACTACTACTAGGTAAGAAAAAAAACTCTTAAAATTTCTTGATTCAATTTCTCTATAACTCATACTAAGAGAAATTATAGTAGAATTGAAGGTAAGGGCTGTACGAAGCTTACTGGATAAGTCAGTCAAAATGCCTTCCAAGCTTCCAAGAATGCTTGCCCTAATAGCCAAACCCTTCTTCTCCACTCTTTCTCACATTTCTCTCCTCTCCCCTTCTAAAATCACAAGTTGAACATGTATAAATTAGGTCATTTTCTGTGCCATGTACTATGACGCGTGGCACAATACAAAGAATCCTCACTACACACACACGTTTCACTTTGGGACACTGTTCTTCCAACCGAATCTGCTCGTTTAACACTCTAATGAGTCAAAATACTAAACTTTCATCCAAAATTTTAATCATTTGCTAATTACTAATTTACCTTTGATTAGTAACTAATTATAAGATTAGAAAAATTAGGATGTTACATTAACACTAATCGATTTAATACTATGAATGACCTATACTCCAACACATACAACCCTCGATGGAGAAATCATCTAAATTTTTGTTGAAAAAGTTCCTTCACTTAAGGGCCAGAAGCAATACCATGCTTGTAACAACAAAGAAACACAATTGATGATCATACAATAAAGTTAGAGGAATATTTAGCTTAAATGACAACTTACCAAGTGAATAACATGAAAATCATTAATCAAGAGATTGACCAACTTAAATAAGCAGTTGCTTCTACTTAAGATTATATGAAGCATATGGAATCTTAAATGGATAACTTTTTGAGGAATATGGAGACTCACTTAATTATCATATAAAAAAATTTTGGTACAAAATTTACTCATATCAACATATTTGCACACATCAAAACAAACAAATCATATATATATATATATATATATATCAATTGTGAAGGAATTATCTACTTTTGAAGATTCAATGAAGATGATGATATAAGAGAGAAGTAGGCACACATTTTGGATGAGGATTTTAACATGAAAAAGTCAAATATATATATATATATATATATTATAGCCTCACATCAACTAATAAATACTCCCCTCCATTAAGAGAAAAGTATTCAATCACTTATCTGAGTATCTCAACAATTATTTCTAAAATATTTGGAGCCATAGAAGCATTTTGAAGGATGAGAGCGACATTATTGAGAAATTCTACATATCATAATTATTTATTATCTACTCTTCAATTTTTCTATAATCATTTTTCATAGTTGAGAATTTTGAAATGTTGTTATTTAATTTTATTACTTGTTTCTAAATTATCCAGTTGGGTAAGGGCGTAGCCCAACTGAAGAGCTAGTTTTTTATTTACTTTATTTTAACTCTTTGCATTTATATTTATAATTTTTTTCAATCATATTTATTTCTTTTTTTTATTGATTTTATAACTAGCTACCATTTAATCAAAAATATAGATATTCTTGTTAGACTACAAGGTGAGGAGAGAATCTAAATATAAAAAAATAGACATAAAGAACTATGTTAGAAATAGTTTTAGAAATTTGAAGTGACTTAAACTATTAACTTCACAATTTAATTAGTTTTTAAGGTATTGTGAGAACAAAATCAACACTAGTTAAAAAAAGATTAATAATTTGAAAGAATATTTAAATACTCTTAAAATAATTGTCACTTTAATTGATTAAAAAATCAACTCAAAAGGCGAAAATTAGCAACCTATAGGATGAATTTTAAATCCCAACACTTGAAGTAATTGTATTTTTCTCATCATTATTTACTTGCTTTATTTTTATTCATATTCTCATCAAACAATCCATTTTATCAATTTTTCTCAAACTAATAATTATTTAAATTAGTAAAAGCACAACTTCCTAATGGGTTCGACACCTAAAATATTTGAGGTAATATATTACTATGACCCCGTATACTTACGGGAGCAATCAATGTATTCTATTTTTACAAAATAAAATACAGAGACATTACAGTCTAGAATCAAACTTTTCTGGCCTCACAAGCTTCCTCCCCTCTGCCCTTAACTGATTCCTCACCTATAAAATGTTAAACTACAAGAGTGAGATAAGCATTTTAATAACGAGAATAAAAATTCAAGCACATACAAATATGGTATTCATGAGCATGGAGAGCGAGTGTATTTCAAAATAATCTCAAAATACTCAAGCATGCGATTTAGTGATAAAATAAACTATGTTTAACAAAGTAAAATAAACTATAAATAAATATATAAAATAATAATTGGCAAAATTATCATTGATAATAAAATATTTTGTAAACTTACACACACAAGTCGTAATGCACAAGAGGTGATGGATATTTTATACTACACTAAGAGAGATTAACTTTGTATATAGATGCAAAAAGTAGAGAGGACAATTTATACACATAACGCAAAACAAAAAATTACCCATAAGTCATAACTACTGCTTGTAGATAAAAAAAGTTTGACAAGTACATATAGAAATTTGTTTTCTACATGAAATTAAGAAAATAATTCTTCTATTTGAAACATATTTAAAATTCCCCAAAGTACATTTATTAATTCAACGTACCAATTCCAATACTTGGGAATCTTGAAGCCAAAATGGAAGCCTTTCAGAGTTCGGAGGAGCGGTTGGCATATTCTTGAACTAACGCCCCAAAAAATGATGGCGTCTGGAGCAACTTGGAGGGTTTATCAAATTCTTTTGCTCGTCCTATCACAAGAAAACGTAACAAACTTTAGGGTGAATCTATTATGAATATATATTGGTCAAAAAAATCTATTATAAATATACCCGCTACAACAATAATTATTACTAACGGTGGTTACATTAAATAGTGAAGACTCAGCAACTAATTAAAAAGAGAAATAGTGAAGGCTCATCCAGTTTGAACCCCGCCTAAAGCAATTTTTGCCTAAAGTAAGAAGATATACAGATCACATATGGATGGTTCCAATTTTGTGAGACCTGCCTGTCAAATGGGGCTTACTATCATCCATCTCTCTTCACTAAACTTGAAGATTTAATTTCCATGTTTCAGCAAACTTATCAAGGATTTCAAGTCTGAATTTTGTAAATGAAAAACTATGCCCCAAAAAGGAAAAAAAATAAAAAAAGCAAGATTATCATCATGTAATTAATATGTGTGCATACCAGCATCGATGACCAAAACCTTATCACAGTCCATGACTGTTGGTATTCTGTGAGCAATGCTAATGATGGTGCATGCTGAAAAGTCCTCTCTGATTATCTTTTGAATCACAGCATCAGTTTGTGAATCCACAGAAGCTGTTGCTTCATCCAAGAACAAGAGACGACTTCTCTTCAGCATAACCCTCCCCAGACACAATAACTGCCTCTGCCCCACGCTCCAATTCTCTCCATTATCAACCACTGTCCAGTTCAATAACATACCTCATCACTAACTAAAAGAACATGAAAGTAAAATTGAAAAAAATCTCTTGAAATGAAGTGAATTTTCCAAACCTAAAGAGTCAAGTTTCTCAGGCTTGGAAGCCACAACATCTTTTAGTTGACAACGTTCCAAGCTCTACAACAAAATCATTCTAGTTTAGAAAGAAAGCAAATAATTAGCTGTATAGTATGAATGTCAATATAAATGGTTGAATCACCTTCCATATGTCTTCATCTGAATACAGTCCAGTGGGGTCAACATTGCTTCTGACAGTGCCCTCAAAAAGAACAGGTTCCTGGGGAATGATGCCAAAACGAGACCTGAGATCGTGAAGGCCTAAGGCGGTTATGTCGATGTCATCAATGATTATTCCACCTCCTGAAGGTTCAACCAGCCTGAAGAAAACTTGGATAAAAGTTGACTTTCCACTTCCTGTTCGACCAACAACACCAATCTTTTCTCCCCCGCTAATGCTTAAACTGATGCCTTTAAGAACCAAAGGAGTGTTGGGACGATACCTAACCTGTTTGCCAGAAAATCAATTCATCATTATAGGAAATACTAGTTTTTCTACATGCAGATTGTTCTAGCATGCTTGTGTGTTTCCTGAATTATATAATACTATGATTCTTTTCATGCATGGTTGTGTGATGGATTGAAATATCTGAGACATGATTTTTATATGATTACATGAATTCTTTTAAGAATGCTTATGGATATTTTTATTGTACAAAGATATGTTTTGCTCTTTTTGAGTATGGCTTGTGTCTTTTAGAACTCTTGTTAGATGCGATGCAGTTGTAGTTATAGGTAGCATAAGAATATATATTTGTTCTATGGTGGATGTGATGGGGGATTGTTATATTTTTACTAATATGTGATACACCTCCAATCAGTGCTTGGTGGTGGAGAATCTCTATCAGGGCTCCCTTCCTTGGTTTGGGATCATGGGACATATAGTGCCTCCTTTTATGAAAGAGTGGGGTAGCTCTTTTTAAGGAGAGGAGTCTAGTTTTATAGGGTATATATTTTTGACGAGGTGTATCCTCAAATTTAGACCCCATCCAGCAAGATAAAGTGGAAGAGGCAAGAAAAAAAGATGGATCAAGGCTTGTATCACTTGTTTGATTTGTTTTGAGTGATTAAACTCTTGTATTTGTTGTCAAAACTGCATTCACATAGTTGTGAAATCAATTTGTAAAACAGCTTGCAAAAGCAACTATGTAAGGGTTAGATCTCACATGTTACTGCTTATACTTTTGTAGTGAATGAGCAATCTGCTTCTCTCGTATATTCATCAAAGGGAGTTGAGTACATATATACTGGAATAGAGGCAATAATCTCTCCGAAAATAAGGGACCAAAATCGGTCAATAGCTAAATAAGATAATATATAATTAAAAAATGATCCTACCCAATCTCTCAGAATAATGAATATTAAAGAAAATATTTACACATAATATTTAATAATTACTCAGTTTGACCACATTCCCCCTCAAGTTGGAGCATAAATGTCAGTCACGTCCAACTTGCGTATACAACTATCAAATGCTGGTCCATGTAGGCCTTTGGTCAGTACATCTACAGCTTGTAGTTTTGTAGGGAGGTATATAAGACATACTATACTTTCTTCCACCTTTTCCCTTTTGAAATGTTTATCTATCTCCACATGCTTGGATCTTTCATGTTGAATAGGATTCAAAGCCATACTTATTGTAGCCTTGTTATCACAACAAAGTTTCAATGGTGGATCAATCTTGACATATATCTCCTCCATTATGTGTCTTATCCACAATCCCTATAAGATGCCTTGGGAAAGAGATCTTAGTTTAGATTCAGCACTGCTTTTAGAAACTACCCTTTGCTTCTGGCTTTTCTAGGTAACAAGATTTTCCCATACAAATGAGCAATAACCTAAAGTTGATCTTTTATCCTTGTAGGTTCCTCCCTAGTCTGCATCCATGTAAATTTCTATTAATCTTTGCTCTTGCCTTTTGAAAAATAAACCTTTTTCGGGTGTACCCTTTAGATACCTTAGAATTTTGTATACAGCTTCCATTTGGCTCTTTCTTGGATCACACATTTATTGGCTAACAACACTTACGACAAAAGCTATATCAGGTCTAGTGTGGGAAAGATAGATCAATTTCCCACTAACATTTGATATCTCTCCTTGTTTGCAGGCCCATCTTTCTTTTCATTCTCTTCTAACTTTTCCTCAAGTTCCTCATCTAATTCTTTACTTTTTTTTCCCCTCTTTGGACTTCTTTTTTACTGTCTTCACTACAATAGGTGTATCTATAGGTCTGCACCCCAACATACCAATTTTCGTTGGTAGATCAAGGATATATTTCCTTTGAGACACATAGAGCCCTTGTTTTGACCTCGCAACTTTCATTCCCAAAAAATATTTTAAGTTGCCAAGATCCTTTACATCAAACTCTTTACTTCAAGCATCCTTCACTCTTCTAATCTCCTCTTCATAATCTCTTGTAAGGATTATATCATCCACATATACTATAAGAATATACCTCATACCATTTTCCATTCTCACAAACATGGTGTGGTCTAAGTGACCCTGCGTGTACCCTTTAGCTTTCAATACTCTTGAAAATCTATCAAACCACGCACGCGGGGATTGTTTCAAGTCATAGAGTGATTTCTTCAGTTTACATACTTGATATATGTGCCCTGTGCCGAAGCCTGGAGGTAAGCTCATATAGACTTCTTCCTTGAGATCTCCATTCAAAAAAGCATTTTTTATGTCTAGTTGATGTAGTGGCCATTCAAGACTTACCATCATAGAGAGCAAACTTTTAATGGTATTTAGCTTAGATACAGGAGCAAATATCTCCTTATAGTCTAAGCCATATGTTTGTGTAAAGCCTCATGCCACCAGTCTAGCTTTCAGTTTGTTTAAGACACCTGTGGAATCATATTTTGGAGAAAAAACCCATTTGCACCCTACTACTCTTTTTCCCTTGGGCAACTCCACTATATCTCAAGTTTCATTCTCTTCCAAAGCTTTCATCTCCTCCATAACAGCAGCTCTCCATTCTGGTATGCTCAAAGCTTCATATACATCATGGGGAATCTTCATTGTATCAAGATTAGTCACAAACACACGAAACGGGGGAGAGAGAGCATGGTAACTTACAAAACTTCTAATAAGGTGCTGAGTACATGATCTCGGTTGCCTTCTAAGAGCAATAGGCAGATCTAGATCATCTATCTCCTCCTCTTCGGCTACACCTTTCACTTCTGGTTCATTATTTTCCATATTCTCACCTTCAGGGACCTCTATCAGTTCTGAATCTGGTAGTGCTATTGGCATGACAGCCTCTACATCTCGCCTCTTCTTCCTTGAGTAAGTCATGAGTTCTTTTTCCAGTGCTGTACCTGCATTACTGTTATTCCTCAAAGGACTTTTCACTTCAGTTTCTGGCCTAGAAGTCTGAATTTCAGGTGCAGGTATATTTGAAGCAAGAGGTTCAGAACAATTTTGAGGCTGTTTTGGTGCTGGTCTGAAATAAAGTCATGTGAGTGAGGCAGGTCTGAAGGTACAGATTTAAAAGTATTTTTCTGGTTTTTCTGAATCCCCAAATACTGAAATTCACTCCCCCTCTCCCCCTGAATTGAAGAATTTAGGAAAAAAGACAGATTCGGAGAATGTGACATCTCAGCTAGTATACAATTTCTTAGAAGAGGGATCAAAACATTTATACTTTTTTGAGCGGAGGAAGAATCAAGAAAAATACATTTGACAGCTTTAGAATCCAATTTGTGGAAATGATGAGAATGGACAAAAGTTGTATAGCCAAAGATTTTAAGGGAAAGATGAGTATCAAGATGAGGGATAGAGTGAGATTCTTTTAACTTATCAAGTGGGGTAACATGAGACAGAACACAGCTAGGCATGCGATTAATCAAGCAAGTTGCAGTGAGTATGGCATCACCCCAGAAATATTTAGGGACATTATGTGTAAACATGATAGCATGAGCAACTTCCAATATGTCTATTTTTCTGTTCAGCAATACCATTTTGTTGTAGGGTGTTGGGACATGTGCTCTTATGAACATTGCCATGATTTTTCAAGAAAGTATCCATTGACTTATTATAATATTCAGTTACATTATCTATATGAAGTACTTGAATTGTGGTGTCAAACTGAGTTTTGATCAGGGTATAAAATTCAAAGAAAACAATAGGAACACTAGATTTATCATGTAATAAGTGTCGTCAATGAAAGTAACAAACCATTTGGCATGAGTACGATTAGGAACACGAGCAGGACCCCATACATCACTATGAATAATGGAAAAAGGACGAGAAGATTTATATTCAAAAGATTTGTAACTAGATCTTTAATGTTTGGCAAGTTCACGATCAGTATACTGAAAAGAAAACAACCTATGAAATTCAAGAAATAAATGACATAAACATTGAAAGTTTGCGTGGAATTTTCAGAGAGGAAAAATTGTATTATCTCATTTAGTTTCTAATGTACAAACTGGTCCTATATATATACATCAAGAGAGATAAAAGCTAATAAATACTAATAAAGCCTAATTAATGATCCTAATAAATGCTAATTATTCACAATAATGACATAATATTCCCACACTCCCCCTTAAGTTGAATCATAGATGCTAATCATGTTCAACTTACTTATACAACTCTAAAATGCAGGCTTAGGTAGTCCCTTGGTTAGTACATCCGTAGCTTGTAACTTTGTAGGTAGGCATGTCAGACATACAATGCCTCCTTCTACTTTCTCTCTGATAAAATGTCTATCCACTTCAACATGTTTAGATCTCTCATGCTGTACAGGATTCAATGCCATGCTTATAGCAGCCTTATTATCACAATAAAATTTTATTGGTGGATCAACTCTAACTTGTATTTCTTCTTTGACCCTTCTTATCCATAGTTCTGTAATTCCTTAAGCTAATGCTCTCAATTTTGATTCAGCACTGCTTCTGGATACAACTCTTTGCTTTTGACTTTTCCAGGTTACTAAGTTTCCCCACACAAATAAACAATAGCCAGAGGTGGATCTCCTGTCTCCATAGGTCCCCCCCAGTCTACATCGGTGTAAATCTCAATTGTCCTTTGATTATGCTTCTTGAATAACAATCCCTTACTAGGTGTACCCTTAACGTATCTGAGAATCCTATATACAGCTTCCAAGTGTCTCTTCCTTGGATCACACATGTATTGACTTACTACACTGACAGCAAAAGCAATATTTGGCCTCGTATGGGATAAATAAATCAGCTTCCTAACCAGTCTCTGATATCTGTCTTTATCAATGGTTTCTTCTTTCTCCTTGTCTTGTTCTTCTTCAACTTCATTATCAAAGTTGTCTTCTCCTTCTAACTCCTCGGTGCCGCTTTTCTTAGGTGGCTTCTTCTTTTTCAAGACCATAATAGGAGTTTCCTCAGGTTTACAACCCAACATGCCAGTTTCCTTGAGAAGATCAAGTATATACTTCCTCTGAGATACATATATTCCTCGTTTTGA